AACGGGCTGGAGGTGGCTTCGTCGTGCTGAGGCTCTGCCCTTCTGTGCCCAGGAGCTGCCCCTGCGGGATGGGGACGATGGTTTCCACACGCACCAGCTGCACCTGGTGGACCTGCGGGCGTCCTGGACCACCACAAACCGGGACATCGCCTTCGGCCTCTATGACGGCTACAAAAAAGCAGCGGTGCTCAAGCGCAACCTCTCCACCGAGGCGCTGAAGGGGCTGAAGATTGACACGCAGCTGCAGGCCAAGAAGCTGAAGCGGGGCCCGCTCTCTGCTCCCTCCATCCCTGCCAGGGTCACCGCTCCCATCACCAGCGGCCGTCCCGAGAGAGCCTCCTCGGGGGGTGAGCGTGGTGGGGAGTGGAAACCCGCACCCAGCAGTGGCTTGGCTGTGCCTGAAAGCCCAAAACTCTGCCTGCTTTCACCCCGTCACCTCCCAGCCAGCTCCCTTTGGCTTTTCCCTGACCTTTCCTCCTTCCCCAGGAGCCTACATGCTGCAGAAGCTCATTGAGGAGACGGACAAGTTCGTGGTCTTCACAGAGGAGGAATCGGGGGCTAGCGAGCAGCTGTGCGGCATCGCCGCTTGCCAGACTGATGATATCTACAACCGCAACTGCCTCATCGAGCTGGTCAACTGCCAGGTTGTGCCCCTGGCCAGCCTGCTGGCCCCTACACTCTGCTCCCTCACCATGAGAGGGGCTTTGCCTGCTCCTGACCCCCCCCAGGATCTCTTTTTTTTTTATTTTTTTCCCCCCCAGATGGTGCTGCGAGGCGCAGAGACGGAGGGCTGTGTGATTGTGTCGGCTGCGAAGGCTCAGCTGCTGCAGTGCCAGCACCACCCGGCGTGGTACGGGGACACGCTGAAGCAGAAGACGTCGTGGACGTGCCTGCTGGACGGCATGCAGTACTTCGCCACCACGGAAAGCAGCCCCAGCGAGAGGGAGCACGGGCAGCTCTGGCTGGAGGTGAGCCGCTGGGGTTGGCACCCGATGGGCGAGCTGCAGGGAGAATGAGGGCAAGCAGCGGTGCCTCCTCGCATCCCTAGGTGAAAAATATCGAGGAACATCGGCAGCGGAGCCTGGACTCGGTGCAGGAGCTGATGGAGAGCGGGCAGGCCGTGGGGGGCATGGTCAGCACCACGACAGGTACTGCGGGAGGAGCTGCCCACCGTGCTGCCCCAGCGGGTGACCCCGAGGCTGGTGGAGCTGGGAGCTCTCGGCACGTCCGTGTGCGGCTCCGGGAGCTGGCTGCTGCTCCGAGCCCTCTTATGGGGTCCCCGGAGTGGTGCTGAGACCGTGGTCCCCCTGCCTGTCCCCAGACTGGAACCAGCCCTCGGAAGCCCAGCAGACCCAGCAGGTGCAGAGGATCATCTCGCGCTGCAGCTGCCGCATGTACTACATCAGCTACAGCCACGACATCGACCCCGAGCTGGCCACACAGATAAAGCCCCCCGAGACCCCCGCTAACCAGGAGAAGGAGGATCTGCTGAAGAAGCAGGAGGGTGGGTACAGCCTGGCAGCGCGTCTCCGCAGAGCCCTGGGCTGACCTACAAGTGCCTGCCAGGTCCAGAGGTGGCCCCTCCTTGTCCCTGCTGAGATCAGAGGGGAGCGTGCAGGGTCCCCAGCTTTTTGGGATCGGGGACACCCCCTGAGGCTGGACACTGAGCCTGCTAGAGCCAGTGTAGCCACAGTGCTCGTTCCCTGTCCCTCCACCGCTGGCTTTTGGTACCCAAAAGGTACCACCTCCGGCCCTACAGGTGCCCCATGCGTCCTTTTTGCGTCCCTGCAGGAGCTGTGGACACGTTCACGCTCATCCACCACGACCTGGAGATCTCCACAAACCCTGCCCAGTACGCTATGATCCTCGACATAGTCAACAACCTGCTGCTGCACGTGGAGCCCAAACGCAAGGTACCCACCACGCTGCAAATCATCGTGCTGCTTGCTTGTGCCCGGGGCGCTCCTCATCCTCCCTTATTTATCCGCGTGGCCAGGAGCACAGTGAGAAGAAGCAGCGGGTGCGTTTCCAGCTGGAAATCTCCAGCAACCCCGAGGAGCAGCGCAGCAGCATCCTCCACCTGCAGGAGGCCGTGAGGCAGCACGTTGCCCAAATCCGGCAGCTGGAGAAGCAGATGTACTCCAACGTGAAGGTGAGCAGCAGGACCCGGCTCCCCTGGCTCCCTGCTTCAGGGCAGAGGGCTCTGAGGGTTGTCTCTCCTTCAGTCCCTGCAGGATGACAGCAAAAACGAGACCCTGCTCGAGCTCAACCACCGGCTGCAGCAGCAGCTGAGCCAGGAGAAGTCCGACCTGCAGCTGGAGAGCGAGGAGCTGAACATACTGATCAGGTCCGGGGGCCCTCTCCGCCTTCCTTGGCGTTGTTCCCCCTCCTTCCTCCAAGTTTCCCCCATCCCAGCTCTCTCCTGTTTGCTGCAGGTGCTTCAAGGACTTCCAGCTGCAGCGTGCCAACAAGATGGAGCTGAGGAAGCAGCCGGAGGACGTGAGCGTGGCACGGAGGACGGAGTTTTACTTCGCCCAGGCGCGCTGGCGTTTGACGGAGGAGGACGGGCAGCTGGGCATAGCCGAGCTGGAGCTGCAGCGTTTCCTCTACAGCAAGGTACCGAGCCGCCCCGTAGCCCCCCACAGCCCCCTCTCTGAGCCCAAATTTGTGGGGCTGATGCGTTTGTGGGCACAGGTCAACAAGTCTGATGACACCGCCGAGCATCTGCTGGAGCTGGGCTGGGTGACGATGAACAATCTGCTGCCCAACGCCGTGTACAAGGCAAGGGGAGCTGCTCTGCGCCCTGGGGACCCTCGGGGGACCCTCGGGTGACCTGGCCAGGGTGGTTCTGCCTCACCCCAGCCACCCCCTGGCTTCCCTGCAGGTGGTGCTGCGTCCCCAGAGCTCCTGCCAGTCCGGCCGGCAGCTGGCACTGAGGATCTTCAGCAAGGTCCGGCCGCCCGTGGGGGGCATCTCCATCAAGGAGCACTTCGAGGTGCCAGGGCTGGGCGGGGAGGTGGCAGAGCACAAAAAAAAAGGATTTGCCTGGCTCTAACGTGTGTGTCTCTCTCTGCCCTCCAGGTGAACGTGGTCCCGCTCACCATCCAGCTCACCCACCAGTTCTTCCACAGGATGATGGGGTTTTTCTTCCCCGGCCGCAACGTGGAGGAGGAGGAGGTGGGGGATGAGGAAGACAAGTCCAAGCTGGTGACAACGGGTGAGTGGGGCGGGAGGTGCGTGGTCCTGTGTGGTCACCTCCTCCCCGGCACCCCGGTGCCACCTGAGCACCTCGGGCTGTGGGTCCAGGGCAAGTTTTGGGGGGCAGCTGCTGGGCTGTGTGGTGAGGAGCAGAGAGGGGTGGTCTCCCCTGTGGGTAGGGGATTGTTGGGGGGGGATCGGGGCTGTGGTTGCACCCCAGGACAGCAGCCCCTTTGTCGCAGGGATCCCCGTGGTGAAGCCGCGGCAGCTGATCGTGGCTGATGATGCTCTGGGGCCGGGGAAGGGAGTCACTCAGGGCCTGAATCGGACGTCAGGGGTCAGGAGATCGTTCCGAAAAGCACCCGAGGTACCTGCTGCTGGGGATCCAGCCAAACCCGGCCTTCCCTCAGCTCCTCGCCCTGCTTTCCTGCCCCCCCTTTTTCCCCTGGTGAAGCAATGCCAGGGCTTGCTGCTTGTTTTTCCCTTCCCCGCTGCTTTCCTGGCTCCGTCCCCAGTCCTCACCTCCTGCTCCCGGCTCTGTCCCCAGCACCCCGTGGACGACATCGACAAGATGAAGGAGCGCGCGGCCATGAACAACTCCTTCATCTACATCAAGATCCCGCAGGTGCCGCTCTGCGTCAGCTACAAGGTGAGGGGACGGGGACGGGGACGCATTGGGGGGGGGGTCCCGGGGCCTTGTCCCACTCTGCCTGACCCCCCTCCTGCCCAGGGCGAGAAGAACAGCGTCGATTGGGGCGACCTGAACCTGGTGCTGCCGTGCCTGGAGTACCACAACAACACCTGGACCTGGCTGGACTTCGCCATGGCGGTGAAGAGGGACAGCCGCAAAGCCTTGGTGGCACAGGTGGGTGGGGACAGCACTGTCACAGCCTCCCCCCTTTCCCCGTATCCTGCTCGGCATCATCCTGATCCCATTCTCCCTCTTGGGGCAGGTGATCAAAGAGAAGCTGCGCCTGAAGCCGGCAGCGGGCGCGGAGGCTCGGGGGAAGCTGGAGAATAAATCGGAGGGGCCCATCCAGCAGCAGGAGGAGGACGAGAAGGCACGGCTGCTCATCGGGCTGAGCGTGGGCGAGAAGAACCCCAGCAAGAAATCCATCTTCGGCAGGCGCAAATGAAGGGCGGCAGCACCCGGCAGGCCGGGAAGGGACTGGGGAACCCCCCCCCAAGTGCTCCCCACAGCAGAGGGGCAGCCCCCTATGGTGCCGAGGGGGGGCCGTGCTGCCCCAGCTTGGGGGGGCTGCGCCCAGACCCTCAGCAGCCCCTTCCCTGTAGGGCAGGGGTGCAGCCATGGGGGGCTGCGGGATGCAGAGTGCTCCAGGGCCGCTTTGTGGGGTGCGCAAAGCCCCCCCCCCTTGTGCCAAGGGTGCCCGCGAGCCTCCCCTGTCCCTGCTGTGCGGGTGCTGGGCCCGGTGAAGCAGCAGGATGGCTCCAGGCTGGGAGAAAGGGGAACGGGAGAGAGTTTAAAAGAAGAGTTTTTAATTTGGAACAGCTTGCCACTTGCCTCCCCCCTCGGCGCCGTCAGCACCATCCCCAAAACCCATGGATTCACCCCCTGGCCCGCCCCAGGGGCTTCCCCTACTTTGGGGGTCCCTCATCCATCTCCTCCGGGGGACCCTAGGATCCTGTTACCCCCTTGTCCCCTGAAGCTGGGGGCAGCCCCAGATCTGGGGGGCTGCTGTAAAATGGGGGGGTTGGAGGGGAGGGTGCTGTGGGATGGGGGGAAAAGGGGGGGTCCCCAATCCCTGCCCGGTGCAGGCGGGGGGTGGATGCCACGGGGGGCGCACCGGGAGCCCCGCTGCCCATTCCTGGACCTTGGAGGGGGGTCGTGAGCTGCCGGGGCGGAGAAGGGGGTGTCCGGAGGGGGAGGGGGCGGGGCCGGGCGGGGTTATGTAAGGCGGCGATCACCGGGCCCGGGGCGCGGCGCGATGGGAGCAGCCAGCAGCGGCCCGGGCCCGGCCCCGGTGCGACCCCCCCAGGTGCGTGCGGTGGCCCCGGGGGTTCCCCTAATTTCCCCTTCCCCATCCCCGGGGTGTTCTTCCTCCCCCCCCACGTTGACGGCCACCCCCGGGTCCGTAGGGCCGCGCTGTGGGGCCGTGGGTCCGGGCGCTGCTGCGCCGAGCCGGGACGGGACCGGCACCGGCACCGGGACGGGGACCGGGTCCGGTACCGGGGCTCGCCCTGGCCACCGAGGAGCCGCCGCTGCCCGCTTGGCCGCTGCCGCAGCTCGTCTCGCTCTTCCTGCCGGAGTTCCCCGTTCGCCCCTCCGGCCGCCAGCAGCAGCTCAAGGTGCCGGTCCCCCCCCCACCCCCCAAAAAAAAACCTACCGGGGGGCTCGGTGCGTCCTACCGGGGAGCCCGCACCTCCCCCCGGGGGTCCCGTGCGTTAAACGGCGTCCTCCAGCGGGTCCCCTCGCAGCCCGGCACGGCTCCATCTGCTTCCCAGCGGGGTCCCCGAGTGTCCCGTGCGCCCTACCGGGGTCCCCGTGCGCCCCACCGGGCTCCCCGTGCGTCCCGTGCCGCCACCCCGTGCCTCTTCTTGGGGTCGCCGCCCGTCTTTACCGGGTTTCCTTGCGCTCCGTACCGGGTCCCCGTGCACCCTCCCGGAGCCCCCGACCCCCCTACCGGCTCCCCTTCTCCCCCCACCCGTGCCCCGCGTGCCCCGCGCCCCCTGTTCCCCAGGTCCCCACGGGGGTACCCACGCGCCCTCCCCGGTCCCTCCGTGCGCCCCCCCCCCCGCCGCCTGCTTTGTGCCCCCCAACGCCCCCCACCTCACCCCACGCGGGACCCCGCTCCCCGTGGAAGCGCCCCACAGCCTGCCCCACACCGGGCACCCCGCGTCCCTTCTCCGTGGGGGGGTGCTCAGCTCCTGCCCCCCCCAGATCCTGGGCTTGGTGGCCAAAGGCTCCTTCGGGACCATCCTGAAAGTGCTGGACTGCGGGCGGGAGAAGGTCTGCGCCGTCAAGGTGGGTGCTGCCCTGCGGTCCGGGGGGTGCCCCCCCTGCTCTGTGCCCCCCCCCTCCCTCCCCTACACCCCCATCGTGCCCCCCCCCAGGTGATGCCCAAAGTGGAGGTGCTGCGCCGCGACACCCTGAAGCAGTGCAAGGAAGAAGTCAGCATCCAGGTGAGGGGGGGGATTTGGGGAGGGGTTGGGGGGGGGATCCTACAGGCTGCAGAGCCCCCCCCCCGTGAACCCCTCTCCCCCAGGGGCCGCTCACCCTCTCTGCTTTGTGTCCCCAGAGACAGGTCAGGCACCCGTTTGTCCACGGCCTGGGGGACAGCTGGCAGGGCCAGCGCCACCTCTTCATCAGTGAGTGACCATCTGCCCGCGGGCTCGTCCTGGCCCCCCCCCAGCCCCCGCTGCCTCCGCACGTGTCCCCGCTGCCCGCACACGTGTCCCCGCACACGCGCGTGCTCCCCCATCCCTGAACGATGCCCGCGGGGACCGAGGCGCTCGGCTGCCAGCTCCGGGGACAACGGGGACGGGGACGAGCGCAGCAGGGACAAACGAGCTGCTCTGTCCCCCCCCCGGGTTTGTCCTGTCACTTCTCCTGTGTCACCACTCCGGTGGCTGTGCCACCGTGGTGCCCGTGTGGGTGCAATTCCTGGTGGCTCTGTGAGCCCCAGGGGCTGCGTCACTTTGGTACCCATTTAGCCACGGTGCTCGTGGCACCTTTGTGCCCACGTAGCCATAGTGCCGTAGGGTCCACCAGGACCCTCACTTTGCTCAGGGATGTGCCACCTTTGTGGCCACAGAGCCCATGTGGCCCTGGTGCCCGTGTCACCTTGCTGTCCCCATGGCTCTGGAGCCCACGTCACCCTAGTGCACGGTCCTGGTGCCCACAAGGTCCCGGTGCTTGTGCCACCTCGCTGCCCATATGGACCCAGCACTGGTATCACCGCAAGGCACGGTCCTCGTGGCCACGTGGCCGCGGTGCCCGTGTCACCTCGGTGCCCGTCACGAGGCCGGTGCCGTGTCCTGGCAGTGTGCACCTACTGCAGCACCGGGGACCTGCACGCGCTGTGGCGCGCCGCCGGGCGCTTCGCCGAGGCCACCGTCCGCCTGTTTGCTGCCGAGCTGGTGCTGGTGCTGGGTGAGTACTGGGGGGGGCTCAGCCCTCCTGGGGGGGGGCAGCCGCCCGCTGGGTGCCACGGGGGTGGCAGAGGGCACGGCGTGGGGAGGGGACCCCCGGCTCTGATGGCTCCGTCTTGTCCCCAGTGTATCTCCACGACCTGGGCATCGTGCACAGAGATGTGAAGGTGGGTGAAAAAGGGGTCTGGGGGGGGACAGAGGATGGTCGGGGGGGGGGGGTCTCTGCACCCCCTGGTGCAAATTGGCCACCCCAGCGCTTGGTTTGTTTCAGATGGAGAACATCCTCCTGGATGAGAGAGGTAAGGGGCTGTGGCACTAGGGTGGGGACACCCCATCCGTGGGGACACCCCATCGTTGGGGGCCCCCACGCGCCATCTCACCCCGCAGGGCACCTCAAACTCGCCGACTTCGGCCTCTCCCGGCACCTGCGGTGGGGCGAGCGGGCCCACACCATCTGCGGCACCCTGCAGTACATGGGTAAGGGGTGGCAGGGTTATGGGGACACATCTCCCCCCCCCCGGGGGGTGCTGCTGGGGACACCTCCACCCCAGCTGCTCACCCCCACATCCCCTCAGCCCCAGAGGTGCTGAGCGGGGGTCCCTACAGCCACGCGGCCGACTGGTGGTCCCTGGGAGTCCTGCTCTTCGCCCTGGCCAGCGGGGAGGTGAGCTCTGTGGGGTGCACATTTGGGGGGCTAGGGGCACCCCATGGAGCTCCTAAACGCTTTCCTTGCCCCCCCCAGTTCCCAGTGGCACCGGCGGGGGACCACGTGGCCATGCTGGAGCGCGTCAAGCAGAGCAGCTACAGCAGCCCCCCTGCGCTCAGCCCCGCGCTGGCCCGGCTGCTGGCCGAGGTAGCCCTCGCCCCCTTGGGTTGGGGGTCCCCAGGGGGGGTCTCCATCGCTCAGCCTCTTCTCTCCGTCCCCAGCTGCTGTGCCACAACCCCCTGCGCCGCCTGCGCTACCTCCACCACTTCCAGGACCACCCTTTCTTCCGGGGGGTGACCTTCGACGCCGACCTCCTGCAGAAGGACCCAGTGGCGGTGGCTGTGGCCCCGCGCCCCCCCGCGCCCCCTCCTCCCTCCCCCGACCCCTCCACCTTTGATGATTTTGACTGCGACCTCACCGCCACGGCCCCCCCAGACCGCCCCTGGCCCGGCTGAGCCGCTGCCACCACCGGACCCCTCGCATCGCTCAGGGACCCCCCCCCAAAATCCCCCCCCCAGGCAGCGGCTGGGCCCCCAGCGCTGTGCGTCTCCCCACGGGACTGTTATAAATGAAGTCTCAACTCAACCTGAATTTAGGAATATTTATAAAGGGAATATTTATAAAAGGTATAAAAGGCAAGGAACCAGCGCTGGGCGTGCGGGGAGTCTGCGCTCCACCAACAGGCACACACAAACATCAAACATTCATTCCTTCTTTCTGCTCCTTTATTGATGACATACCTTCATCATGTTGACTTTTTTTTCTTTCTCTCTCTTTTTTTATTTTATTTTATTTTATTTTATTTTATTTTATTTTATTTTATCCTGAGGGCAGCCTCCCCTCTTACACCCTTCACCCCACAGCAGTCCTTTTCAAACCAACTTTTCATTGGTCAAACTTCAAAAATAACAACAGCAAACACCCAGCAACATCCATGCCTTAAAGGCTGGAGCACAAGCAACCCGAGCCTGTAGGGAGCCTCCTGAACCACCCTTCTGGGTTCCCTCTAAGCTCTTTCACATTCCTGATGGCCTCATTGTTAAGAGTCTCATGCTACCATCAACCATGGCCACACTCCCACCTCTTTATTAATATATTTTTATCAATAAATTATTTATTAATAAATTCTCTATCATTATTTTTATTAATAAATTATTTATTAATAATTCTTATTATTAATATTTTATTAATAATTTCTTTATTAATGAATTCCTCATTACCACCGCCCGCTCTCTCCATACCCACCAGCAGCACCGCACCCGCCACCCCCGCGCCTTTTTTCCCGCCAGATGGGCGTGGCCCGACACTAAGCCCCGCCCACCTCCCCATTTAACCACGCCCCTCACCGGTTTGGCCCCGCCCCGGTCACGTGCGCTTCGCGGAACCAATCGGAACCGCGCGGGGGTTTCAAATGGGGCGGCGGCGGGGCGCAGGCGGCAGCGGGGAGGGGGCCATGCAGGCCGCGCGCGGCTCCACCGGGGGTGCGGGGCACCGGGGGGGGCCCGGTAGCGGTACCGAGGTGAGTCCCCCCCCCCTTGAGTCCCCCCGTGTCCCTATAACCGCCTGGGGGGGCTCCGGGAGGCCCCGTTCGCCGTTGCTCGAGGCCGGTTGGGGGCTCCGTTAAGCCCCGGGGGGGTTCCGGTGACCCCCCCCGGCTCCGGTCCCCGGTAACCCCCCGGTAATGTTCATCCCCCCCCCCCCCCAGATGCAGCGGAGACCCCTGAAGGAGCTGCGGCTGCAACCGGAGGCGGAGGGCAGCGGCCTCACCCCGCTGCTGCGCCGCATGCGGCTCGAGGTCGGTGCTGGGGGGGGGTAAAAAAACGGGGGGGGGGGGCAATAATAACGGGGGGGGCACCGGGGGGGGGTGGGGAGCTTCTGGGGGGGCGCTGGGAGAGCTGGGATTAACTGGGAGGGGAGGGGGAGGGGCAGGTGGTCGTGGGGGTGTAAGGGGGGGGGGCGCAGGGTGGTCCTGCCCCCCCCCTCCCCATGTCCTGACCCCCCCTCCCGGTGTCCCGTAGGACCGTGGCAGCTGCACCCCGGTGTCCTGTGCTCGCCCCCACCCCATCCGCCTCTCCGTGCCCCCCCCCAGGGCCGTTATCCCGCGTTTCCCCAGCCTGGAGTCTCTCAGCAGCATCACCCCGGAGCCCTCCCCAGGCGCTGTCACCCCAGGGTCCCCCACCCTGCACGAGTCCCCCCCCCACGTCCCACTGGGGGCTGAGTCACCGGAGCTCCCCCCTGCTGATACCACCCCAGAGCCCCCCGGCAGTGCCACCTCGGGGCCTGAAGCCCCGGAGCCCCCAGGTGACACCTCCCCGGAGCCTGCTCCCCCCTGCAGTGCCCCCCCAGGGCCCCCCAACAGCCTTATTTCAGGCCCCTGCTTCCCCACCCCCCCCAGCAGCACCCCGCTGGTGCCCTACTCCCCTGACCTCTCATGCCCCTGCACCCCAGCCCCCCCCAGCATCAGCAGCTCAGCGCCCTGCAGCCCCCCCTTGCATCCCCCCAGCAGCACCAGCCCAGCCCCCTGCACCCCGAGCCCCCCCGGTACCTCCACCCCTCAGGAGGCTCCCTTCCATGGGGGGGGGCACACGGTGCCCACCGACCTCTCCTGCAGCCCCGAGGGCACTAGCGATGGGGGTGAGGCTCTGCCCGCTTGCCCCAGCACCCCTGGGACTGCCACGTCCCCAATCCCTCCCCTCCCGGAGCAGAGCCCCCCCCAAAATGAGGCAGCTGAGTTGGAGCCCGCAAGGGCTGAGCCAGCGGCCACCCCGCTCCCCTCGTCGGAGCCGTCCCCGGGGGCCTTATCCTGGGCGTTGCTGCTGGTGTGGCTGGAGAGGAACCTTCAGCCCCCGTCCCCGCTGGAGTCCCTGCGGCACAGGCTCCCCCTGTCCGTGCCATGGCGGGACGTGGGCACCGGCGTCACCCCCGTGGGCACCGGTGTCACCCCCATGGGCTCCAGCGTCACCCCCGTGCGCACTGTGGCCGTGGGCACCAGCATCACCCCCGTGCCCACCGTGGCCGTGGGCACCAGTGTCACCCCCCTGCCCACCATGGCTGTTGGCACCAGCGTCACCCCCGTGCCCACCGTGGACACCGGCACCGTCATGACCCCGCGGGACCCCCAGGACAGGAGCCCCGGCACATCTGCAGTGGCTCACGCCAAGGACAGCGCCACCGAGACCGACTCGCTGCTCTCGTAGTACGTGTCCCCACAGTGGGGGGTACGGGGGGCACGGCGCCCCTGTGGTGTCCCCTCCCAACCCTTGGCTCCGTCCCCAGCTGTCCCCGGGAGCAGCTGAGGTCCCTGTCACGCACGGAGCTGGAGGGGAGGCTGGAAAACGCCCTCATCATCATCGAGGTGCTGGTGCTGCAGCTGCGCAGCTGGCAGGAGAGCCAGAGGTCGCTCCCCAGCGTGGGGCCGGCCAAGCAGCGGGACGCCCCCGCCCAGACGGACATCACCTGGTCCCAGGGGGTAAGTGGGGAGCTCCGGGTGGAAGAAAATTGGGGTTTTGTCCCACCCCAGCTGTGTTATCGCGCTGAGTTTGCCATTTTTGAGCCCTTTCCGCGGTCGAATATCGCGGCAGGCGCACGGGGAAGGGATGAGCTGGTCCCGTGGGAGCTTGTGGCACGGCGTGCGTGGGGAGATGGGGAGGTTTTGGGGTGCTGAGCCTGCTGTGCCCCCTTTTAGGAGGAGCAGATCTACCACGGGCTCTACCTGGAGCTGCACAAGAAGAGCCAGGCTCTGCAGCGGCAGCGGGGCACCGAGCAGGAGCTGGCGCAGGAGCTGGCGCAGGCGACGGAGGCGATGGTGAGTGGGGGTACACATGGGACTCAGCCGGGCACCTCACGTGCCCGGTGCCACTGGTGCTGGCACGTCCTGAGCACCCGTGTCCTCGTCCTTTCCCCAGGACACCTGGGCCAGGCAGGGCCTCCAGCTACGCAGCCTCGCGGAGCGTGCCCTGCGGAGCCTGCAGGAGGATCAGGGAGCCCTGGCACAGGAGGTGAGCGCACACAGCCGGGCTGGCTGCCCCATATCTGGCCCTTCATAGCACAGGTAGCCAAGGCACGTGGGGTTTTTTGGGGTCTGGGGCAGCTGGAAGCACCCGGTGCCTGTCTGGAGGCTGCTGGAAGCAGCTCCTGCGCCCAGGCTTGTGCCACAGATGCCTGGGGATGTGGGTGAGGGAGCTGGCACGTGGCAGCTCGAGGCCGTCCCGGTGCTGGCCTCCTCTCAGGGCCTCCTCTCGGGGCTGTTTTCCCTTGCAGAAGGAGCAGGTGAAGGCTCTGGTGTCCCGCTGTGTGGCCGTGCTGCAGAGCGTGCCCGGCAAGCTGCGGAGCTGCCTGCAGGAGCGGGATGAGGCGCAGCAGCGAGCAGACGAAGCCCTTCGAGCCAAGGCGGAGGTAAGGGGGCAGCCCGTGGGGTGCTCGGGAGCAGCCTCTGCAGCCCCCGTGTCCCATCCTGTGGATTTGGGGGTCCCGAGTCCGTCTGTCCGTGGGGAGCAGTGGTGCCCTGAGCCGTGCCTGTCCCTCGGTAGTGTGACAGCTTCCTGGAGGCTTTCAGCTCCCACGCCAGAGCCCAGATCAACGCCCAGAACCAGAGTTTGGCGTCCCAGCAAGAGCTGCTCGGGCTGCTGGAAAGCACCATCCACCAGCAGGTACAGGGTGGCTGCAGCTCCCCTCCCCTGGGTCCCTGCGGGTGCAGCCGCAGCCCCGATTTGGGCGACGATGCTCTGAGCAGATCTGCCACGGCCCGGGGCTGGCGCTTGCCTCCTCCTGTTCCTTTTTCCCTTACCCCTCCTGTCCCGCAGGCTTCTCTGGCTGCAGAGTCTCAGCTCTTCCGTGAGCTCGCAGACATCGCCTTCGCAAACCTGCAGGAGGAGCAGAGGGTGCTGGACGACGAGGTGAGGGCTGTCCCGGTGGGGCAGTGGTGCTTTGGGTACCGCGGTCAGCCCGGCTGCCAGCCCTGTCCCTTCCTGCCCTAATCCCGTTCCCCCTGGGGCTGTCCCCTCGCAGTGGGAGCGGGTGAGGGCCCTGGTGTCCCGCTGCACGGCCCTGGCCTGGAAGATGCCCGACAAGCTGCAGAGCTGCCTGCAGGAGCAGGAGGAGGCGCAGCAGCGAGCAGACGAAACCCTTCGAGCCAAGGAGGAGGTAACGGGGCTGGGTGGTGCTTGGAGGGTTCTCCCCGGGCACGTGGGGGGATTTTATGGGGGAAAGGGGCATGGAAATGGCTCAGCGTGGGGGAGCAGGGATGAGCTCCGTGTCCCCGCAGGTGTCCCAGCGGCTGGAGGAGACCTCGGCGGCCCTGCAGGACGCGGTGGCTCAGGTGGAGCAGCTGACGGTGACCAATTCACGCCTGGGTGCAGGTAGGGGAACACACGGGGGGTGTCGGGATGGGAGTCGGGGGGGGGGAGGCTGGAGCCGCTCCTCGCGCTCACAGCTCTCCCCCTGCAGACCTGGGCACCCTGATGAAGCAGCTGGCCAGCGCGCAGCAGGAGCGGGACGCGCTCCAGCAAGAAACCACAGACCAAAAGGAGGAGATCTCCCGGTGGGTTCCGCACCCCTTCACCCCCTAAAAATCCCCAAAACACCCCCGTGGGGTCCCCTCACCCCTATCCCATCCCCATCAGGCTGACGAGGGGGCGGGATGCCCTGCAGCGGGAGTGCGGCGAGCTGAGCCAGGAGCTGCGGGAAGCCACGGAGTGCCGGGAGGTGGGAACCCAAATCCGCCGGCACCGTCACGTGCCGCCGGGTGGCAGCCGGCCAGCAGCGGGATCAGCCCTCGGCGCTGACATCCTGCACGTAGGGCTGCTCGCCCGGGGATAATTCCCCTGGCCGCAGTCACGCTGCTTTGCTTTCCCTCGGGCCCAGGGTGCAAATCCGCAGCCACCTCCGGGGGTTGTTGGCAGGGGACGGAGCTGCCCCTCGTCGGTTTTGGGACCACACTGGGGGGCTGCAGTGATGTCCCCCCGCCTCCCAGCTGTCTGTATGCTCACAGCTGTGTCCCCCCCATCCTGCAGTTCCTCGACCAGGAGAACCGCATGTCCCGGCGGCAGCTGATGGAGGTGGAGGCCAAGCTCAAATCCACGCTGGCCGAGCTGCAGGAGCGCAGCCTGCAGCACGAGAAGCTGAAGGAGTCCCACAAGTGCCTGCAGTACGGGCCTGCCCCTAAATCCCTTGTTTTGGGGAAATTGGGCCCCTCGGGGTGGGGTGTGTGTGTGTGTGTGGAGGTGTGGCTCTGGTCGCTGCTGAATCATCCCCCCAAGTGGGGGGGGGAGAGGTTGTAGGGCAGCCCAAAACCTGCCAGCACCCGGCGCAGTGGGGTTTGCACCCCCAGATCGTGGGGGGGAGCCTGGAGAATGCTCCTCTCCCACCCTAGGGGGGAGATGCTCTGTTCACTCCATCCCCCCCCCCCTGCAGGGACAAGCAAGCCGCCCTCCTCAGGGAGCTGGAGAGAACCAAGGCTGAGCTCCAGGACTCGCAGATGAAGAGGGAAAAGGTCTCCTGGTGCCTGGCGGACATCGCCGACAGCAAGCTGAGGCTGCAGGAGCTTGCCGACTGCCTGCGAGCCTCCCTGGAAAAGGAGGTAGATCAGGGGTACAGGGGGGCAAGGAGGGGGAAGAAAATGAAGAGGCAGCAGGGGCAGCACCCCGACACCGCGCTCCGTCCCCCAGAAGGACGATGACACCCCGCTGAGGAGCAGAACCTGGACCCCAGCCCCACGGATCCCCGCACACCGCACCCCGTACCGCGCCGGGGGCTCCGTGGGCAGCGCCCTGAAAAACACATCGGGGAGAGGTGAGCTCCTGGGGACCCCCAGGTGGGGGGGGGGGTGAGGGCTGGTCCTGTCCCCCCACCCCCTGACCCCTCACACAGCTCCTCTGCCCTCACCTCCCGCAGATGGCAATGAAGCTGCCGGATTTGGGAGCGTGCCCCAGACGAAGCCTAGCAGTGATAAAGTTTTTTCCACGCCAAAGCGAGCAGGTAGCGCGGTGTGGGGCTGCCCTAAACCTCATTGTCCCGTGTCCCCCCCCCACCCTGGTGACGAGCCCCTGCCCGCAGAGCCCGAGGGTGACCTGATAGAGAGGGTGGCGGAGCTGAGGGCCGTGGTCTCCGAGCTCTCCTTGCTGAGCACCCGCATCCAGGAGCTGGAACAGAGCGAGTTCAAGGCGCTGGAGGCCAAGATGTGAGTCTGGGGGGGTCCCGGGGGGGGGCAGCACCCTGGGGTGCCTCCCACCCTGGCTCTGAGCAGAGTGCTTGCCCAAAAGGGCTCCATGCAGCTGGTGGGCATGGGCTGGCCTCTGTTCCTGGGGGCTGGGGGTCGTGCCCCCCAAATTCTCAGCCATGCTGTGTCCCCCCCCCAGCTCCAAGCTGCAGCGCAGGCTGGAGAAGGTGACGGACGAGAGCCAGGAGAGGATGGATGACCAGGCCGCCACCATTGCTAAGCTGAACAAGGCGCTGCAGGGCAAGATCCAGGTGAGCCCCCGCCAAAATTGGGCCAGTTCTCACCCCGGGGCAGAGCCAAACTGGGACGGGGCTGGGATCTGGGACACCCAGAATCTGGGTGACCGGCACCGCGCTGCCCTGCGGGCGCTCCGGGCTCGGATAACCTCAAATGTGAGCAACCCGGTGCCACGAGGGGGGGGACAACACCAGGCCTGACACCCTCCCGTCCCCAACATTTTGTCCCCTGAAGAACGAGAAGGTGCTGCAGGACATCTTGAAACAGCAGGAGGAGCACATGCTGGATCTCATCGACAAGAGCGGGGAGGTGACGGTGCGTGCGGGGCCGGGTAGGGGGGTCCGGGGGGGGGGTGCCAAAGGGGGCCCCCCCATAGCATCTCCTCCCTGCGCAGAGGCTGAATGGGGAGGTCTCGCAGCTGAGGCGCTCGCTGCAGCGCGCCGAGACGGAGGCCAAGGTGCTGTGGGAGGAGGTGCGGGGCCAGGAGCCCAAGGTGGACGCTGCCCGCGTCCAGGAGCGGATCCTGATGAGGCAGGAGGTGAGGCCGCGGGGAGCTGGGCCTGGGGTGGCCACGAGGAGGCCTCAGGTTGTGGGGAGACATCATTTCCCCCTTGCTTCCATTTCAGGTGGACAAACTGCGCCTGCTGCTCCTGGAGAAGATGGATGAGAACTCGCAGCTCTCCGACAAGTACCTGGAGCAGGTACTGGGAGCTCCGAGGGGTCCCAGCAGCTCCCATCCCCTCTCCCCCACCCTACACCTGCCCTTTAATCCCTCCTCGTCTCATTTCCCTGCCCTTTAATGCCTCCTCGCAGATCCAAGGCCTGGAGCTGAGGCTCCAACAGAGCCAGAAGCTGCTGAAGGCCTACGAGGAGACGCAGGAGAAGATGAAGAAGGTGAGCTAGGCCCCGCCGGGGCCCTCATAATTCCTGCAAGCGGGGTGTCCCCCACTAACACCGCCTCTGTCCCCAGGTCCTGTCCTGTCCCCAGGTCCTCTCGGTGCTCCCTGCAGTGTCACCAGCCTGCCCCGAGCTCCTGGCCCTGCTGCGCTACCTGGACCTGAAGCCACCGAGCGCTGACAGCGAGGAAGAAGCCCCCGAGCCGCAGTAGCCCCTGGTGCTGCCCCCTTCCCCTTCCTAACCCTGGCATTGTTTATTCAATAAAGTCTTTTTTTTTTTGTTGGCATTTCACCCCGTGCCATGCCACTGGGCTCCCTGCCACCCCCGGGGGCCGCGTTCCCCCCCCCCATGGTGCTTGCTCTCAATAAGGCACCGTGTTCCCAAGGCTCCCACCCCGCAGTGCCCGAGCTGACCCAGCTTCCCTCCCCGGGGCCCCCCGCTCCTCCTCCTGGCCTAGATTTCCCCCCCCCCCTAAATTTTCTGTGTCCCCCCCAGTTTGGGGGCATGCGTAGAGGGGATGGGAGGCTGGATGCTGTGCCCTATACCTGCTGCATGGGGCCCTATATCTCCCTCATGCACCATCCCGGGGGGGGCCAGGACTTTTCCAGCCTTGAAGGGGGGCTCCTATGGGGCCCCCCCATTCCCTGTGCAGCTCTCCTCCCTCCCCCTTCCCTACTAGGGCAGCTCCTGCGGGATCTCCCTCCAACCCTTCCCAGCCCCAAGGATGCTCCCGGTCCCTGTGGGGCCCCCCCTGCGCCTCCCTCCGCCACCACAACCCAAAATAGCAGCGCTCCAACAAGTGCTCTGGTTTTTAATGGCCCTTTTTTCCCGGGGGCGGAGGGGGGGTCACCTTCCCCTGCCCTCCACCCTTATTATTTTTTTTTTCCATGCCTTTATTTCCCAGGGGTGCGTTGGTGGCACCGCACCCCTCCCTGCTGCCAGGGGGCTGGCTGCGCCCCCTAAATGTGGGGTGGGGGCGGCCTAGGCCTGGATTTAGGATGAAAGGGGGGGCCATAGGAGCTGCCCGCTCTGGATTAGGGCCGTGCCAAGCTGCTGAGCCCTCCTTTTACGGCGGGGATTCAGCAGAACTCAGCCCTGGCAGCCGGCCCGTGGGGCGAGCGGGGACACCGCTATTGTCCCCACGCTGGCTCCGGGCGGCTCTGCTGGGTGCGGGGGGGCTGCTCCCCTACAGAGCCCCCCCCTTCTGTCCTGGGATATGCGGGGATGGGGGTGGAGGTGATGCTGGGGGGGGGCATAGGGGGGTCCCCAACACATGGGTGGTGGCACAGAGGTCCTTGCCTCGAGGTGGGGGTGACAGTGGGGTCCCAAGGGGGGGCTCCATGGGGTGGCACAAGGAGGGGGGGTCTTGCCCCCGAGGGGGGGGGCACAGAGGGGACCCTAACAGCAGCAGAAGCTGGCAGTGGGTGATGTGCTTTGTCACTTCCCCACACCCAGCAGGAAGTGACAAGGGGGTGGCACGGCTGGCTCCCCATCCCAAACGAGGCGGGGGGGGGGGGGGACACACACAACAGGCTCCCCCCTAGCCAAAAAGGGGGCGGCACAAAGCGTGAGGGGGGGTCCCCAACCCTAGGATGGCACCGCGGGGTCCCCGACAGCAGCACGGGGCGCAACCGGAGGGGGGATTGCGAGGTTCGGGGGGGGGCTCCGGTGTCTCGGCTGCGTTGGCGGGGGGGGGAGGAAGGCGGGGAGGCTCGGGGGGGGGGGGCTGGGGGCCGGTCTTACCGGGTGCCGCCCGCCGGGCCCGCCCCGCCGGTCACGTAGCTCTGCGGCACCGCAGCCCCATTTACCGCGGGACCGGAGCGCACAGCCCGCAGTCTGCGCCCGCCGCCACCGGCCCTGCACGGTAACCGGGGGGGTGGGGGGCAAAAATAGGGAGCCTGGGGGGGGGGATGGATGGGATGCAGCCGGTGGGAGCGGCAGCCCCGACGGCAGCCCCGTGCGGAGCCGCCGGGAACCGCGGAGCTTTTTGGGTTTTTTTTGCTTTTTTTTTTTGGGGGGTGCGCTCTCGGGTAGAGGGGTGTACGGGTGTGGGGGGGGCCAAGGGGAGGCTGGGGGAACCCCCCCGGACCGGAGCAGCCCCGGGGAGGACCGGCCCGGGGGCTGCTCGCCGCCGGTCCCACGGTGGCGGTGTCGCCGTCCCCATCCCGGGGCCAGCCCCATCTCGGGGGGGCCCCATCCCGGGACACCCCCAGCCCACCCCCGGGGCAGCGCCGCATCTGGAGCCTTTCTTCCCCCCCTACTTCAGGGTAACCCCATCCCCACGCACCCCCAGCCCGTGCTAGCCCCGTCCCTACGGAATCTCCATCCCCGGTGCCCCCCCCCACCCGGGGGGGTCCTGCCCCCTGTGTGCCCCCCCCCTGGAGCTGCTCTCCCTCAAGATGGCTGGGCTGGGGGCGGGCGAGCAGACACCAAAATGGCTGGGAGCTCCCCGGCATCCTCCACGAGGTCCCGCTTACGCCACGCGGCCTCCCCCGGCACCCCACTAGGGTCGTCCGCCCCTCTGGATGGGGGTCCCGGGGGGGGGGGGGTCCCCATTCCCCGCAGGGTGGCTGGCGCATGGTGGTGGTGGTTGGGGGGGGGACACACCGTGGCGGCGGCGCGTGACTCAGCCCTCGTCCGCCGGCAGGCACCACCACCACCATGACGCACCAATACCCCGCGCTGACGGCCGAGCAGAAGAAGGAGCTGTCGGACATCGCGCTGCGCATCGTGGCCCCGGGCAAGGGCATTTTGGCTGCCGATGAGTCCGTAGGTCGGTGCACGGGTGGTTTTGGGGAGGGTGGGGATGGTGGGGAGGGAGCCGTGCCGATGTCCCTTCCCCGCGTCCCCGTCAGTCCCCTGGGGCTGACGGTGCCTCGGATGCCCCCAGGGAGCATGGCGAAGCGCCTCAACCAGATCGGGGTGGAGAACACGGAGGAGAACCGCCGGCTGTACCGCCAGATCCTCTTCAGCGCCGACAGCCGGGTGAAGAAGTGCATCGGGGGCGTCATCTTCTTCCACGAGACCATGTACCAGAAGGCGGACGACGGCACCCCCTTCGTCCAGATGATCAAAGATAAGGGCATCGTCGTGGGCATCAAGGTGCGGGGGGGGCATCCGATGGGTTTTGGGGGTGCCAAGAGTGCTCGTGGGGTGCTGGTGGGGCTCAGCACCACCTTCCCCTTCCCTCCATAGGTGGACAAAGGCGTCGTGCCGCTGGCCGGGACAGATGGGGAGACCACCACGCAGGGTATGTGCGGCAGGTTTTGGGGTGAGGGTGTGAGGTTGGGGGGCTATGGGGCTGACGCGCTGCCCAGCAGGTCTGGACGGGCTGTCGGAGCGCTGTGCCCAGTACAAGAAGGACGGGGCCGACTTCGCCAAGTGGCGCTGCGTGCTGAAAATCAGCGACAACACCCCCTCTGCCCTCGCCATCATGGAGAACGCCAACGTCCTGGCCCGCTATGCCAGCATCTGCCAGCAGGTACGGACGGGGCTGCGGCTGGGCACGGCCCCACGGGGCTGGCCGACGTCCCACGGGACAGGCAGTGGCCCGTGGGATGGGCACTGACTCACGAGGCCAGGTATTGCCCCACAGCGACGGGCACGGATCCACGGAGCTCGGTGTTACTGCAGGGCCTGGGTGTTGCCCTGCAGGGATGGGTATTGCCCCGTTGGCTGGGCATTGACCTGCGGGGTGGGTGGCACCCTACAGAGACAGGCGTTGACCCTCGGGGCTGGGAATCAACCCAGGGGACAGGTGACAGCTCATGGGGATGGTCCTTGGCTCCCAGGACCAGGGGGTGGGCATCTCTTGTGGGGCCAGGTGTCACCCGTGGGGCTGGGCATCGCTCTGTGGGGTCAGACACCACCACACGGGGCTGGGCATCACCCCAAAGGCTTGGGCATTGCCCACGGGGCCAAGAATTGTTGCTCCTAGGCTGGGCATTGCCCTACTGGGATGGGCATCACCTGTAAGGTGATTGAACCTTGGGCATCACCACCAAGTCCCGGCACTGCCCCACGTCACCCCGGGGCTGGAGCAGTGCCCAAGGACACCCTTGCGATGGCATCTCCCGGGTGCTTGCAGAACGGCATCGTGCCCATCGTGGAGCCGGAGATCCTGCCCGACGGTGACCACGACCTCAAACGCTGCCAGTACGTGACGGAGAAGGTGAGCGGCGGGGCGGGCGGCGGGGCGGGCACCGTGCCACGCCGTGCCGTGCCGTGGGACTCCCCGATTCCCGTCCCCAGGTGCTGGCGGCCGTCTACAAGGCGCTGAGCGACCACCACGTCTACCTGGAGGGGACCCTGCTGAAACCCAACATGGTGACCCCCGGCCACTCCTGCCCCACCAAGTACAGCCCCGAGGAGATCGCCATGGCCACCGTCACCGCCCTGCGCCGCACCGTGCCCCCGGCCGTGCCAGGTACCGCCACCGGCACGTGGTGGAAACAACAAAAATGATGGCAGGGGGATTCCAGGCGGTCCCCTTGGTGCCACTCCCCTGCTCTCCATAGGTGTCACCTTCCTGTCCGGGGGGCAGAGCGAGGAGGAGGCCTCCATCAACCTCAACGCCATCAACACGTGCCCGCTGGTGCGGCCGTGGGCCCTCACCTTCTCCTACGGGCGGGCGCTGCAGGCGTCGGCGCTCAGCGCCTGGCGCGGGCAGAAGGACAACGCCACCGCCGCCACCGAGGAGTTCGTCAAGCGCGCAGAGGTGAATGGGGATGGACCCCCCGGGAGGGGATCCTAAAAGCTGTGTCCCTGTGGGTGGGCGGGGGGGGCACCAGGAACCACGTCCCTATGGGTGGAGGGGGGCACCAAGGGCTGTGCCCCACAGCAGGGGGGATGCCAAGGAGCAGGTCCCCATTAGGGGCACGCTGATGGCTGGCTCCATGTGGGGTAGGGGACAGCGAGGGCTGCGTCCCCATAAGGGAATGGGGGATGCCGAGAGCCAGGTTCCTGCAGGAACCTTCCCTGTGGGGTTCCAAAAGCCATGTCCCAAGTGGGGATGGGGAACACGAGGGTTGTGCCCAGTGGGATGGGGCACACCAGAGCCGTGTCTGTATGGGATGGGGCACACCAGGACCGTGTCCCCATGGGATGGGGCACTCAGCATGCCGTGTCCCCATGGGCTGACGCTTCCTCTCCCCCCAGGTGAACGGGCTGGCTGCGCTGGGCAAGTACGAGGGCAGCGGGGACGACTCGGGGGCCGCCGGGCAGTCCCTCTACGTGGCCAACCACGCGTACTGAGCCTCCGCTGGGCCCCGCTGGCCCCCCCCCCTTTTGCCCCGGACCCCCCCGCCACCGCTCACACCCCGCTTCCACCCCAGCCACCCAGGGGAAGCCGCCAGGAGGGTCGGGGCCGGCGGCCCCACGCGGATGAAGGGGACGCTTGGCTCAACTGCCCACGGCCGGGGGGGGAACTCCGGCCAGGCCAGGCCAAGCCAAGGGTTTGGGGAGCCCCCGGCCGTGTTGGGGGGCAGGAGGGGAGGCCTGGGGGTGCCCCTGCCCCGCCGTAGCTTCTTCGCAGTGCCGCCCTCGGGGCCGCGTGTGTCGTGTTGTCGTGTGCACCCCGTGTACCAAATAGCCTAAACAACGAATAAACGGTAGAGACAGCGCCACGACGCCTCCTCCTCATCCTCCTCCTCCTCATCCTCACCCTGCACGGTCTCGGCCTGGATTGGGGTTGGGGTGGGGTGGGGTGGGGGGTATGGGGGGGGTGTGGAGCTGCTGTGTCCCCGTTCCCAGCCCTGATCCCCTGTTTTGGCTCAAGGTGGGTGCCTGTGGGTGGGCATCGCCCCCCTAGCACCCATAGCCCACCCTCAGCACTGATCACCCCCCCCCAGCACCCATAGTCCCCCCTGAGCGCCCATAGCCCCCCCTCAGCACCCATCAGGCCCCCCAACACCCATAGTCCCCCCTGAGCACCCATCGCCCCCCCCCATCACCCACAGCCCCCCCAGCACCTATTGCACCCCCAGCACCCATTGCCCTCCCTGAGCACCCATAGCCCCCCCCTCAGCACCCATGGACCCCCCCCAACACCCATCACACCCCCAGCACCTATGGCCCCCCTCCAGCACTCACAGCACCCCCCTGCACCCGTCACCCCCTCAGCACCCATGGCCCCCCCCTCTGCACCCATGGGCCCCCCCAAGAACCCCTCACCCCCACCAGCACCCATCGCCCCCCCCTCATTACCCACAGCCGCCCCCCAGCACCCGTCACCCCCTCAGTACCCATTGCCCCCCCCATCACCCACAGACCCCCCCAGCACCCATCGCCCCCCCCCCTCAGAGCCCCCCCCAGCACCCTGCTCCCCTATCCCTCCTCCTTGCTCTCCGATTGGCTCCTCCTCACGCCCGTCCGGCCTCCTCCCCGCTCCTATTGGTTGCCGCGAGAGCCGCGAGCTCTTTGAATGGCTGGGCCGCCTTCAAGCCCCGCCCCCCTCCCGGTTGAACCGGGAAGAGAAGATGGCGGCGGCCGCGGCGGCGGCGGCGGATGAAGCAGGTACCGGGGGAGGCGGGCGAGGGGGGCAGGGCGAGGCCCGGAGCCCCCCGGGAACCCTCCCGGGACCTGGTTCGGGCTCTGAGCGCTGTCCCCTCAGAGCGTTCCCGGGGCCGCCGGGCCGCGCTGTGCTTCGCCGCCATCGCCGTGCTGCTGGGGCTGCCGCTGTGGTGGAGGACGACCGAGACGTACCGGGCCGCGCTGCCCTACGCCGGCATCGCCGCCCTGGGGCGGCTGCCGGTGAGGAGAGGGGGGGAGTGTGGGGCTGAAGGGGGCTGCTCGGTGGGCACCCGGTGGTCCCCGGTATCCCCCCCGGTGGTCCCCAGTAGTCCCCGGTATCCCCCCGGTGGTCCCCAGTATCCTGCCGGTGGTCTCCCAGTGGTCCCTGGTATCCCCTCAGTAGTCCCCGGTGTCCTGCCGGTGGTCCCCGGTACCCCGGTATCCCCCCAGTGGCCTCCCAATGGTCCCTGGTACCCCTCAGTAGTCCCCAGTATCCCCCCGGTGGCTTCCCAGTGGTCTCCAGTATCTCCCCCCCTCCCTGGAACCCTTCTGGTGGTCCCCTGGTGGTCCCTGGTATCCCCCCAGTATTCCCCCGGTGGTCCCCAGTATCCCCCCAGTAGTCCCCAGTATCCCCCCAGTGGCCTCCCAGTGGTCCCTGGTACCCCTCAGTAGTCCCTGGTGTCCCACCGGTGGCCCCCCAGTGGTCCCTGGTATCCCCCCCGGTGGCTTCCCAGTGGTCTCCAGTATCCCCCCCTCCCCGGAACCCTTCTGGTGGTCCCCGGTATTCACGCAGTATCCCCCCAGTAGTCCCCAGTATCCCCCCAGTGACCTCCCAGTGGTCCCTGGCATCCCCTCAGTAGTCCCTGCTGTCCCCCCGGTGGTCCCCGGTACCCCCCAATTGCCCCTCCGTTGGGTGTCCTGGTGCCCCCCGCTGACACCCACTCCCAGCTCCAGCTCTCCGTCCCCATCTCCGTGGTCTTCGCCCCGGGCTCGGTGCCCGCCGACCTGCCGAGGCAGCTGCCGTACCGGGACGTGCGGGAGGAGCCGGTTCCCGTCGGCTGTAAGACCCCCACCGGCCCCTACTGCCCCCGGCCCGGCTCTCAGGAGCACCGTGGGCCTGGAGGTTCGCTTGTTTTTTACTCATTTTGGGTTATTTTTCTCCCAACAGCAAGAAGCGACGTGGCGGCCCGCTACGAGGAGTTGTACCGCAGCACCACGGCGAGGGAGGCGGCGGCGCTGGGTGCAGCCACTGCACGAGGTAACGGGGTGAGGGGTGGGGGGACTGCACGAGGTAACAGGGTGAGGGGCTGGGGGGTGCCCTGGGGCTGCTGCAGCTCCTGGTGCCCCGTACGGTGCCTCTCCCACCCGCAGGGGCCTGAGCCGAGCTCTGCTGCCCGTGCAGGAGCAGGTTTTGAGGGTGGTTTAGCAGAAAATGGGTTTGGTACCCTATGGGATGGGGAATGGAGCAAAGCTCCCAGTCCCACTAACAGGTCTGTCTTCCTCAGAGGCTGATGCTGCTCTGCACGCGCTGCAGGACGCCTCGCCGGGCTCTCTGACCGTGTACGTGGTCCCTGAGAGCTCCCCTCTGCTGCCTCAGGTAGGGAGCAGCGCCCTGAGGTGCCCATCGCTGCGTTCCCACCGCCCCCCTGGGATGCTGCGGCTCTGGGGCAGCTTGGCGTGGAGGAAACCCCCAGTTCTCCACACTCTGCCACACAGAGATGCAGGAGGCCTTGCCAAAAAGGCCTGCAAAACCCTAGGGAGAAACAAGGAGCGCTGGGATCGGGGAGATTTGTGGGGTTGCATCCCTTGAAGGTGCCCTGTGGGGCACAGCTCCCTCCCTGAGCTGCCGTGGGTGGCTCTGGGCGCGTTGGCAGAGCCAACCCCGCTCCCGTCCCTCACCACCACGCCTCCCCCAGGGCACCGATGTCTACGTGGGGAAGCACCGCAGCGCCCTGCTGAGAGCCGGGCAGGGTCTGGCCGCTCTCCGTGCTCGCCTCCAGCAGCTGATACGGGTCATGTCCCTCCCGGCCACCTCCATCGCTGCCGCCCTCGCAGACCGCGTCCCCGATGGCCAGCTCGGCCCCGACGCCCGGCGGCACCTGAAATCCAGCCTGGGTATGGACTTGAGGAAGGACAGGGAGAAAGGGGTCAAGGTCCTGTGGCTCCTGGGAGCTCCGTCGTGGCCACTTGCCTGGTTTTGGCATCACAAAAGGGTGGCCGTGGCCGTGTCTCACGGGGCCTGGGTGCTCGGCAGGGTACGAGATAACCTTCAGCCTGCTGAACCCTGACCCCAAGTCCCACGACGTGGACTGGGACATCGAGGGCGCCGTCGGCCGCTACGTGCAGCCCGTCCTGGACAAGCTGAGCGTGGTGGCCAACTTCTCAGTTGACTCGCAGGTGAGGGCTGGGAGAGGCGATGGGCAGAGCCCGCCCGTGGCCTTGCCGGGTGCCCTGGCACTCGCTTCTCTGCCAGCAGCACCCGCGTCGACTCCCTGCAGATCCTGTACTACGCCGTGCTCGGGGTGACGCCACGCTTTGATAAGGAGTCCTCCAGCTTCCTCCTGAGCGCCCACAGCCTCCCACACGTCATCAACCCCGTGGAGGCCCGGCTGGGTGAGCTCCCAACGCTGTTCTCACAGGATTGAGCCCTGATGGGGAGTGGGGTGCCTACACCCTCACCTTTCCCTCCCTGCAGCACCGTGAGCAGCCAGCCGTGACGGAGACTTACCGGTCTGGGTGCTCTGCTCGGGGCTTGCTGCTTGAGGAGAAGCAGGGCTGGGCTCTCTTGTCATCCCTGTGGGCCAGGGGAGAGTTTTTTGACTCAGTCCCGCTTTAGGATCCAGCGCCGCCTCGCTCTACCCCGTGCTGAACTTCTTGCTGTACGTGCCGGAGCGCTCCCACTCCCCGCTCTACATCCAGGACAAGGACGGAGCCCCGGTGCCCACCAATGCCTTCCACAGCCCCCGCTGGGGTGGCATCATGGTACGGGGCCCTGCTTCTGGCAGGGCTCAGCTCCCCGTCCACAGCAAGTGCTGGCAGCAGTGCTTGGCCCCGGGTGTCCCTCACCAATGTGCTTTCCTGCAGATTTACAACGTTGAAGCCCCTGCTTCCCCCCAAGCCTCCCTCCCACTGCACGTGGACGTGGACATGGTGCGGGTGATGGAGGTTTTCCTGGCCCAGCTCCGGTGAGGATGCGCTCTTCCCCACCCTGACCTCTGTGTTCTCCTGATCCACGTGCACATTAATTGAGGACAAAGCGGGCTGTACCTGTGCCAGAGCCCAGCAGCTCATCTGAGGGGCTGAGGATGGCTTTTTGTGGCCTTTGAGGTGCTGACCACCAACCAGCACTGCTTCCTGGCCATGGGTGCTGTTGCCTGTCCTGAGGTGGGAGGTTTTGTGGGAGGCCATCAGGTGTGGGCTGAGCCCTGCAGGGACTGAACGCACCAGGGAATGTGCAGGCAGGGCTGCGGGCTCGTGCCACAGTCTGGGACCTTCCCCCTCTGCTCCCAGGTTACTCTTTGGGATATCTCGGGAGGAGCTGCCCCCCGAGTTCCAGGTAGAGAGCCCAGGGAATGAGGGGCTGGCCGACTGGGAGCTGGACCGCCTGCTCTGGGCCCACACAGTGGAGAACATCGCCACCGTCGCCACCACCTTGACCTCGCTGGCCCAGCTGCTGGATCAGATCAGCAACATCGTTATCAAGGACGACGTCGCCTCTGAGGTAGGGCTGGGATACCCCGAGGAGCAGAGAGGGGCAGGAATCACTGTCCCTGTGCCGAGGTGTGGGGTGCTGCCAGGCCTGGGGGCTGCCAGAGGTCCCCAAATGTTTATCTGTGGTCTCCAGCCTTGTGTCCTGGTCCTCTGTGGCCAGGGACTGACTGTGCTGTTCCCACGCAGGTATACCGCGCAGTGGCCTCGGTGCAGGATGCCATGGCAGAGCTGGCCGAGGGCCGCCTGCGCTCCGCTTTCCAGGCCAGCAAGGAAGCCGTCACCTCCTCGGAGCGAGCCTTCTTCGACCCCTCCCTCCTCCACCTCCTCTACTTCCCCGACGACCAGAAGTTTGCTATCTACATCCCGCTCTTCCTGCCCATGGCCGTTCCCATCCTCCTCTCCC